AGATCGGAAAAGTAGGAAAGGAAGGAAAGTCTCATTTCACTCATGTCACATTCTTGCGAAGGTTCTGTTGAAGTGATTCACACATAGAACTATCTAAAATGAATCGGAAGAGATTAAACAGGCACATTTCTCGAATTATGAGAATAGAGCCGGCGAGCATACCCCTTTCCACGCCAAGAAGTCCGTCCTGGATCCGCTTGTACCGACGAATACGGTGCAGTGGGAAGTAGCACTGTTGTCTTGCAGTGGAATGAGGAGGGTTCGACTCACGGATGGGACAGTTAATCCCTCTACGAATCGTTCCGGGGTTTAATTTGTAAATTATTACTCGTATATGCTAGAGAATCAAATCTTTTATCAGCTTTCTTGTAAGCAACCCTTGACAAAGTGAACCATCGGCAATCCTGCCACCCAGTGCTTGCTGTTGGCATTTGCTACCGCTCAGACTGCTTTCCGAACGCCTTCGCCTGCTATAGAGAACAAATATGGAGGAAGGAGGAGACGGGGGGGAGGGGGGATTTTTTTATAAATTGTAATTTGTAGCCATTGGAAGGGGCGAATTGTAACTTAAAACCAAGGCGGTCCGGAAGCAAATAAAATAAAGAGCAGCCAGAGCCAACGAATTCTTAAACCTTAGGATGAGATTGATTTAATATGAGATGAAGATTTGAAGTAAAGGTGAAGATTTTTGTAGGCTCAGTTCATGAATAACCCATGGGATAAGCATATATTTGAACCTGTTTTGTGATGTATGAGCTTTTTTTTGGATTTTTTTGGTTGGATTTTTTGGATTTTTGGTGGAGTCTTTTGGATTTTTGGTGGATTTTTGGCGGAAAGATGATTGTAGAAATTTTTTCTTTTTGCCAACTTTATTACAGGCAGCACGAGGAAGATTATCTGATGACCGATGAGGAGTTGTTGTGCAGTATTTTGGAACAGTGCCCCAGCATTTGTCCGCCAAGGAAGATGCCCTGTAAGTCGCGCACAATCTAGTTTTGTTTTTAGATTTTTAGTGCTGCTAGGCAGAATTATTGAGTTCCAAGCCAAAAAACATTCCACTCTCCTTACCCTCTCTTACTTTTCATCTTTCTTTTTTCCTCATTTTCCGCCTCACTCTTATTCGGTTGGCTCATATGATCACTCATTCTTCAGCCCTCATAATTCCCTATAGGCGGAGAGAGAGAGGTGGGGAAGGACGATGGGTCTTTCGCCTCATTCCAGCAAGAGAGGCGCTAGTACTACAAAAGTATTGGATAATCCATCTTTTTCAAAAACAACCCATTTTAAGCTGAATATGCTCGTGAGTTGTTGAGCGTTCATCAGTCAGAACCAGTCGGCAGTATTATTGCAAGTCTTCTGAGTCGGCTT